GGGACAGGACCACGTGGTTGCTATTTAAGCCCAGAAAAGCTCTTTGGCCTCCACCGAACTCCTGCAGCTGCTGGTTCCCATTAAGCCCTGTGCCTTCCTCCTGCTCTGTTGACCTCACCTTTGAGTGAGGCCCGGGGGCATGGTGACCCCAGCATCCGCGGCTCAGGTTGGCTTTGGATCTTTAGAAACAGTAAAGGGGTGGTGAGTTCAGTTGCCAGCAGCTGGTGATAGAGGGAAAATCGTGGCGTAATCCTGGTCTTCATGTCTTGGGGGTTTATCTAAGAACAGCCTAAATACCATGGTTGAGACCATGGTGTCAGTCCCTGGATCCTAGAATCATGGCACTGTAAGGACTTACCTGGTCCCCATCCTTCACAGGAGACACTTCCTACACACCCATCTGCCTAGGAAGGTTCCCTTTACAAGATAGTCCCCCTGCCTGCAAGCCACAGATGTACCTGCCTGTTTCTGTGGGTGTTCCTGAAGAGGGCAAGGATATGACATTAGGAAACCCACTCTCTTCCCTTGTCAGGGTTCCCAGACATGGAGACAATGACCAAAGAGCTCCCATGATCACCTACTTGAGTGAATGTTCCAAGTCCTCTTAACTTTTTTATAAAGCTCACTTGGAAAGTCACATTCCTACTCCATTTTTTTTTTCAGTCTCCTTATGTTCCCAATAACCAAGGCTGGTAGACCCATGCCGGAGGATTCGGGGGGATGGACCAGGAACGACCCCCCAACTTGGAGGCTGGCCCAGATAGCCCCATTTCCAAATTGAAATTTGCTTGCCCGGCCGGCAGCACTGGAAGTTAATATTTCCTATCACTGTATTTAGGAATTAATTTCTAGAGAACTTAATCACCACCTCTTTCCCTCTCCCTCACCTCTTTCCTTTCTCCATTCCTCTCCCTTGTAATTTTCCACTTGGCTGGGAATTCTCCAGCAGTGAAAGTTCAGGCTTAGGGGACGGCAGAGGGAGCTGCTCCATTAGAGAGGATAATCTCAATTGGAACCACTGACTTGAATAATAACCCCTCCAAGAGGCCAGGGCCATTGTTCCCAAGGGCTTGTAGCACCTCTGCACTGGGGCTGGAGGGACGCACTGCGGAGACAGTAGAATGAGAAGAGGAGGTCAGAGAAGGTTAGCAGGGCCAGGCTCCAATTCTAGGGGCCTGGGGTGTCTTCTTGGTCCATCTATAGGTCTGTGTTTGGGGTAGGATGACAATGGTGGTAGTCAAGATGAACGGCTGAAAACTCAAAGTCACAGAGCACGCACTTTTTACATCCCTATGACATTTTTTGAGTCCTGCCTGGAAAACGGGTGAAGCAGGATCTTCCTCGACCTTCAGGGTACTCCCACAGGGGAATTGAAGGGCATGCTTTAAGAAGTCTCTGGAACCCTGTTGAAGAAAACATCTAAGCTGCCCCTCCCCCACCCCACCTCTACTAGAGTCATGAATTAACCCTCTGCACATTTCCTAGCTCTTGCCTGGGCTAATGGCAAACCACATTCCTAGAAGAGAAGAAGGTCATGACCCTGACGGACCCCATAAGAACCCAGAAGGAATTCATTCTTCCCCCGCCACTATCTTATCACAGCTGAGGTCAATTGTCCGTGCTCTTGAGCATTTGCAGCCTCTACCCTCATGGGCACTGAGGGATAGTAGAAATGTCAACACTTCCCTGACACTGACCTTAAATTTGACTTTCCACTAAGAGCTGAGTTCTAGATACCCTGTGAGGGGTTAGTAAGAAGGCAGAGCTACAGCCCAGATCACTCTGTCTCCCTTTTCTCCCTCCTGACCTCCGGGATTCCTTCTTCCTTATTAAGAAGGAAACTGCTGGAGCCACCCCTGTTTTTTTGTCTTTGGTTTGCTCCATGGGCCAGTCTGAGAAAAGATCAGAATTTCTGCATCAGCTGCACTTTGGAAGGGTTGGAAGAAGATGGATGAGAAGGGATGGAATTGTACTACCACTTATTGAGGGCTTCTTATGTATGAGCTATGCCCTGTTCTACTTGCATAATCTTTTCATCCTCATAGTAACCCAGTTGGGTAGATACTATTTCATCCCCATTTTATAGATGACAAAACGGAGGCACCAAGAGGTTAAGTAATTTGTTCAATCTTAGTTGCGGGTGAGCATAGCCCACCGTCCCAGGCGGGAGTCGAACCGGAAACCTTGTTGCTAAGAGTGCATGGTCTAACCACTGAGCCATCCAAACCAAGATTACACAGTAAGATGGGACGTTGAAAATTGTAAGCTATGGGTGGCTTCCCTGGTGAGACCTAAATCTGAGGGGAGACGATGAGTAGTTAGTTTGGGCCTCTCGGGAGCATGGCAGGGTGCAGCCACATGAACCTGGAGAGCAACAGGCCAATAGGTAGAACTTATCTTTGACAGGCCCCAGACAAGTTCCTTTGTAGCCCCTGGAAGAGAGACAGGGTCTTCTCTGTTCTATCTGGATCTCTATTTGGTAAATGCCAGGTGCTGTTTGGCCTGAAAGCAGTTTCATTTTTCTCTCTTCATAATTTAATCAAAGACATTTCTCAGACCTGCTGATTGCTCTTGGAAAGAGGAACTTCAAAGTTGGGGAGTCCGTGAATAATTTAAGCCTGCACCAGCTCTCAGGGTCTGCCATTAATGGGAGTAATAACACTATTAATAGCGGTGTCAGTGCAGACGCCCTGGCCAAGTCCATAACATTAGCTTAATGGCTGGAGGTAATGAAGTCCTCGCGCAGAAGCTAGCCTGCTAAATTAACTTCCCAGACTTTTAGGCAGACGCCCTGGTTACCATGGGTCTGTGAGAGCAGCCACGAGTGCCTTGGAGACAACCACACTCACGTCTGACCTTTCGCTCTTGGGATGGGAGTCCTAGAAAGGGTCCGGGAGAATTCACACGTCTCAATAATATTCCAAGTGAGGCTTCTTAGTGGCAGGCAAAAATAGCGATTAGCCTAGAGAGAAAGATTGAGGGGAATTTTTTAAATTGCTCTAAGCACATGAAGGAAACATCACGATAGCAGGAAAAGTGGGTTTAGGTGCAGCAAAAGGGACTGTCCCTCACGTCTCCGTCTGGAAGTGTCAGGAAAGTCGAGTGCATTGGTTAAGAGTACAGGCTCCAGAGTTCATCTCTGTTCAAATACTGGCTCTCTCTGATCAGCTGGTGACCTTGGGCACATGACTTACCACCTTCTCTAGAGCTTCAAATGGTACCTACCTCACAGCATTGTTGGGAGACTTAAGTGACATAGGCTGTAAGCCCCTTATTACTGCGCCTAATGAGCACTCAATGGCTAGTAGCCATGGCTGTTAGTCAAAATTGGTTTTTACCGTCTCATTACCCATCAAATCTATTCTAAGGCCATCCCTTTTGTCCCTGTATCTCCCTTTCTTTCTTTAGTCCACCCCTTCACTGATTTCTCCTTTGTTTGCTAAATTCACCTCTCAGATGCTCCACTGTTAGGCTGTCCCTCCCACTGAGGCCAAAAGTGTCTTCCTCATCCGGGGCTGGAAGGAGGGGCCCCCACAGCTTTCCTCTGTGCCTGAGGGTCACCCCAAGGGCAGCTCAGGTGCCCAGGTGCCTCTCCTCCCTCATCCTCATCCCCGTACCTCATCTGTCTGCTTCTGGAGGCACATGCCCTCTCCCCGATATCTCCCTCCCCACAGGGGTTCCACGTCCCTGGCTGTTCTATTTCCCACCAAACTCCTTCCCAGGGCTCTCTCCTATCCTGCTACAGCCCTGACGTCCTCCTTCCTCTGCGGAGTCTATTCTCTTTCACCCACAGCGATCAGCCATTCAAGAGTGATGACCCTGCAGTCCCATCCTATCTCTCCTTGTCCCTCTGAGGCCCCCACTTTTACTCCACAGGAGGATCAGCAGCCCCGACTCTCCAAATCCTGGCCACCCAGCGCAGCTCCGTGTTCACAAGACTTGTTTGACTGGGATTAAATGCTGTTCCTTAAAGCTCAGACATGTCCCTGCAGTGAACTCCCACTGCAAAGCGGGGATGGCCTTGGCTCCAACCGAGAGCTTAAGCACCTTCCCCCTGTGCACTTCAGCGAGGGCCATGATTTTTATGTGCATCTTTCACAAGCCCCATCCGTTGAGATTGTAAGATGCCAGGTCACCCTGGATGTGGTCCACCTGTGACATGGTACACTTTGAACAACACAGGACACAAGCAATAATAGCGAACCTTCCGTGGCAGTTACCTGGTACCATGGAGCTGGGTTTTCGATCCAAGGCAGTCTGGCTCCAGCGTATGCTTTGAACTAGTGCACTCTGCTTGTTTGATCCTCCCTTCTCTCCCTCCCACCCGCCTGCATTTATCTTCTATCTGCTGGTCATGAGGATTACAGGGGATTCCAGAATCAGTTAGACACTGTTTCTTCTTTTGGAGCAGCTCACACTTGGCAGGAGAGGGCTGCACTCAGCCCAGTCATTGTCATATGATCTAAGAAGTTCTAGACTGTAGGAAACTCTAAAGCACTCTTAACTTTGCCTGAGGTGGGGGTGGGTTAGCGGGGATGGGTCGGGGTTTGCAGGTGCATAATAGTTGATCGATGTTGGACAGGGAGAAAGTGGGGAGAGAGCAGTGCAGACAGAAGACCTGGAGTGCACAGAGATAAGGAAGTCTAACAGAATATATCATACATGTAGATAGAGCAAGTCTCATGTTGCCTAAGAGGCGGGGGAGAGTGACAAGGGCCAAGGATGAGTGGGGGTGGGGAGGTGGACTAGACAGGACTTTGGAACTCAATGTGAATGAGGATGAAGTGAGGGGACTCTAGGATGACTCTCAAGTTTCTGCGTCTGGTAACCGGTGATCGGAATGACCACCTTTTTCAAATTCGGACATGATGGCGGAGGGCCGGGTGGGAGGAAGGAAGAAAATCATCAGTGCCGGGAGCCACTGACAACGCCTGACCTCCGTGCCAGCCCGTCACTGGACGAGGCACCTTCTGAGCCCCTCATTGGTCTCTCCCAACCAGGTGTACCCGGAAGGAGCGCTGTGAGCGGTCCAAAGAGCCCCGCAGGTTTGCCTCCGAGATGAAGCAGTGCGTCCGGCTGACCGTCCATCCCAGCAACATCTCTGTTTCTCAGTACAATGTCCTGGTAAGGGCAGTGGGACCTGGGTCAGGGACGTGGGCAGAGCCCTCTCCCCACCACAAAGGGCCGCAGCCCAACATCCTCAGGATGGGTGGGTGAGCTGGGTGTGCAGGGACATTGGGGAAGAGACTCTATGCATCATGGGTAGGAAGACAAGGAAAACTGGATCCAAAATGACCCAAAGGGTGACTGAGAGAGAGAGGTTGTTGGGAACAATATCTTTGTCTTTGAGATGGGAACGATGTATATGCAGAGGGAGAAGAGAAAGATGCTCCCATGTTCTTGCACTGGGCGCTTGGTGGTTGGTGTCACCATTTTTCCAAAATCAGGGACAATGGAAGAAAAGCTTGATCAGCAGTACCTCGGCCCTGTCCACCTTCCCTTCTACATACAAATCCCCCCAAATTCTGTTTCCTGGGACCAATTCCATTTGCATGTAATGAAGTTTCTTTTGTTTCTGACTCTTTACATCCCACCACCTTCTCCATATGCTCTTGTGATAAATTGGGTCCCTTCTTCTCCATATCAATATCGCCTCATGTTTTGCTTTCTCCTTTCTTTCTACCTGTTCTCTCTCGCTCTCCTTCTTTCTTCCTTTATTCCATACCCTTCTTTTTCCCACTTCACTCTCCTCCTCTCTCTCCCCTGCTGGGCTGTTTCACAGCTGGTCCTGGAGACATACAATGTCCCAGAGCTGTCAGCGGGCGTCAACTGCACCTTTGAGGACCTGTCAGAGATGGATGGGCTGGTGGTAGGCAATCAGATCCAGTGCTACTCCCCAGCGGCCAAGGAGGTGCCCCGGATAATCACAGAGAATGGTGAGCAGCCCCCGGAGGCAAAACTGGGTGGTATGTCCTTCCTCCAGCCTGGATGAGAACTCAGGACAGATGTGGAGGGATTGAGAGAGCCTACAGGTGGGGAGAGTCCGGGAAAGGGTATGGGTTGGGGGGTATGTTCCAGGAAGAGGGAGAGGAAGTGTCCTTTCGCTGCCCTTGGAATTGAGTGTTGAAACCAGGTGAGCATCTAGGAGTCAACCTTAATCCTAGGGGAGGAACAGCTGCTGAGAGAGCATTAGAGTATGCCAGCCAAGTTCATAGATTGTACATGAGGGGGCTGGCGTGGAGGGGCAGTGGAGGAGGCGAAGCTGGTCAGAAGCAGGGATGGGGGTGCTGGGGGTCATCTGGCTCCTTACCCCCCTTGCCTGCCCTGCTGGGTCCCTGACCCTGGACCACTAACCCCTCACTTTTACCCTTCCCTGCCTTCCCAGGGCTGCCTGTTCTTGGCGAGCTGCATTGGGAGGGATGGGGGTGGATACAGGCCCAGCACAGTTGAGGGACAGACTCGGCCTGGACAGATGGATGCTGTGTTGGCCCTCCCATTTGGGCATGTCACACTTGCTCTGAGCTGATTGATTAATGAGGCCCTTGGGGTAGGTGTGGAACCAGGCCAGAAGTGGGGCCTGGGGTCAGAGCTGTGAATTAAACATGGGCTCTAGCTGTTCCCAGGAGCCAGCTGAGGATTCCAGGGACACCCACCCGAAAGGAGCCCTGAGCCCACCAGAGGAAGGGGCATCAGAACAGGGTCTTTCTTTACAGAGATGCAGATTAAGCACATGTGCACACACACATACATGCAAAACCTCTTGTGTAGTTTGTGGCAGAATTACTAAGAGTTGACACATTTCCCCTGGTAGTTCATCAGCATGTGTGTTGGTAATTCTGTGCATCTGGCATGAATATTATGTGTGTGAATGAATGCATATTTGAATACCTGTCAGAGTGTGTGTGTGTGTGTGTGTGTGTGTGTGTGTGTGTGTGTGTGTGTGTACATTCAAGAACTGGTGAGCAAATGCAGGGTGGATGCCAGGGGTTCAGTATGGAAGGAGGAAT